TGAATTGATAAACTGCGTGCGCATCCTAACCCAAAAAGACGGAGTAAGTTAGACGATCGAACTAAACAGCCGGACGGAACAGCCGGACGGAGTAGCCGAACTAAACGACCCAATGAAATAATTGGACGATAGGGACGGTCGAAATAACCGAACGGAACGATTTAGCTGATACGAACGAAACAGACGAAACATACGAACGGTGCTCGAACGGTGAACGATCGCTTTCTAGACGCTAGACTACCGCTAACCGCACGCAAGCCGCACGCAGAACGAACTGAACCTAGGTGGATACTTGGGCGTAATTTTAACTGTAGTAATACTGAATATGCCATGATAAGTTTTGGATTCGCAATAAAGTACGCTCGCTGTCAATACTGGATATTTATGTGATGGTACTATTGGACCTGAGTATCTCACTAGTTGATTACACAGTGATTAAAACCTTATGTCAACGATAAACTTTCCTGCTGTTCGCTTGTTTGAAAAGAAACAATATACAAGGGTTTGTATAGATAAGTCAGAATGGTGAATTGTGTTTTTAAAATATCCAAGGATCATTCTGCACCCATCATTGTAAAGTGACCCCCGAAGCACATCTAATAGCATGACTGTCCCAGATGTGGATGGACTGTTACTTTGTATGAGTAGACACGTTACTGCGAACAAAGATTCACAAAGCATTTATAATAGAACCTATTTACTTCCAGACGACGAGTCAGAAAACAAGAAGAAGCGGAGGAGGATAAAGCAGGACTTGTTCGACAGCAGCAGTGAGGAGGAGGGTATGTTAATACTGCTTGACCTGTAAAACTGGACCCTTGACCAGTAAAACTGGACCTCTGACCATTAAACCTGGCCCCTTGCCCAGTAACCCTGGACCTCTGACCATTAAAACTGGACCTCTGACCAGTGAAACTGGCCCACTGATCAGTAAGACTGGACCCTTGACAAGTAAAACTGGACCTCTGACCATTAAAACTGGACCCTTTATCAGTAAAACTGGACATCGGACCAGTAAAACTGGACCTCTGACCATTAAAACTGGACCTCTGACCAGTGAAACTGGACCACTGATCAGTAAGACTGGACCCTTGACAAGTAAAACTGGACCTCTGACCATTAAAACTGGACCCTTTACCAGTAAAACTGGACCCTTGACCAGTGAAACTGGACCTCTGACCATTAAAACTGGACCCTTGACCAGTGAAACTGGACCACTGATCAGTAAGTCTGGACCCTTTACAAGTAAAACTGGACCTCTGACCATTAAAACTGGACCCTTTACTAGTAAAACTGGACCCTTGACCAGTAAAACTGGACCTCTGACCATTAAAACTTGACCCTTGACCAGTGAAACTGGACCACTGATCAGTAAGACTGGACTGTAGGTCGTCTCAAAGCGGCCTCTGACCAGTAAAACTGTACCCTTGACCAGTAAAACTGGACATCTGACCATTAAAACTGGACCCTTTACCAGTAAAACTGGACCCTTGACCAGTAAAACTGGACCTCTGACCATTAAAACTTGACCCTTGACCAGTGAAACTGGACCACTGATCAGTAAGACTGGACCCTTGACAAGTAAAACTGGACCTCTGACCAGTTGTACCCTTGACCAGTAAAACTGGACCCCTGACAAGTTGTACCCTTGACCAGTAAAACTGGACCCTTGACCAGTAAAACTGGATGAGTTTAGAAGAGATATATGAATGGCAGTGATGTCGTGCAATTTATAATCGTTTAAATCTATGTACAGACTTACCAATTGAAAATAAGCCTTACCCCATTAAAATAAATAATTGTATTTTCTGATGTCTGTATATATTTTAGAACCAGCGCCTAACAAGAAGATTAAGCAATGTTAATGTAATCAATCAATTCTAAATGCATTATTTACCAATATAAAAAATCTCCATTTTATTAGTTTTGCCATTTTATATGGGCAGCAAGACGATTTCTTTAATGTCCTAACTGCTGTGCCTTGTCATCTATCTTAAGTTTGTGACTGATTTCAAGTTTTCAATTAATTTTCAAGGCATATAGGATTGCTCCTTCTTTGTATGAGATTCAAAATTTCACTGAAAGTGAAAATGTATTTATTTTTTGTCTGTGGAGTTACCTGTCTTACATTTAAATCTGTTTTCACTTTGATTCCCTTTGCAGACAATAAGATATCATTAATTAAATCAAACTGTTTGGTATTTACTGCTGTTAAACCTGTCAAACATCACGAAGATTTCTGATTGCACAGGTTCTGTTTATATAGGATATTTATATAACAGTTTTTTTTTTATCAAGATGTGGAGATTGAAGATGACAGTCCGGTCCCGAGTCCGATACGGGAGCTTGTAACAGTTCTCGCCTCCGACTCCGAGGAGGAAATGGAAGTCACAGAACCAAGCCCAAAGAAACGCTCCCCACAGAAGCCATCGCCAGAGAACCGGGAGAATGGGGAGAGGAGGAGAAAACGGACACGTCGGCAGGTTCCCAAAACATTTATGGATGATGACGGGTATATGGGTGAGTTAGCAAAGGTCGAAACTACCAGTTTTAGCTGCAAGGGAAGTTTTGCAAGTGATCAAAAAAGTCACTTGCTAAAAGAAATTCACTCAAATTTTTGTTGTTCTTTTTATCAAATATAACATGAATAAACAACTAAGAAAATGAAAATGATTCTGTTAAAGACAAACATTAATATATATGATCAATAATAATTGGAGGATCTTATATACCGCTTTATCACAACCTAGTTTGTAGGTCGTCTCAAAGCGGTTCACAAATTACTATCCGTGGTTATAGGGCCTTTGCAACCAGCCAATATCTTTCTCAACTCCCTGGGGAGCATACAGCTGTGCTGCCATTTCGGCACTCACAGCTAGCATTCAACAATTCTTGCACTGCCCAACCACATACTCATTTACAGCTGAGTAGACTGGAACAACCAGAGTAAAGTATAGATCTTGTTCAAAGATACAACACAGTGGCGTGACGTGAACTTGCAACCCTTTCGTCTCGAGCCTCGCGTCTTACCACTAGACTACTGTGCCTCCCAATAGGTCTACTTTGTATAGGGATATCTTTTGGACAACATATTAACAAAGATCAATACTGTATTTTTTCAGAGAGGCAAAAAATCTTCTGCAAGTATTTTTAACAAGCATGTGCTGAAAATTTACATGCTTTTACTAGTAGATATATGTAAGTTTTAAACCTTAGTTAGTCAGAGAGTTTGTATAATCTGTTAAGAGCACTATTTAAAAACTGATATAGACTATATGATTATATTTTAATCTTGTTTGTAACAAGCATTTTCACTGGCTTAAAAATTTATGTTATCAGCCCATAAATGATATTTAGGAAATTAGAAATTAGTCTTAGAAATTTTCATTTTAACAAGGTTGAGCTTAAAAGAAAAGTTCAGACAAGTTCCAGATTTTTATTTAAGTACTAAGTGTTAGTGTAGATCACCGAATTTTAGACCAAAGCTGCTGCATCTTAGCTTCTGCACTACAATTCATGCCTCAGATAATTTCTGGTCCATCAATGTTAAGGTATTGCTTTAAGCTGTGTTATGTGTTGTGTCTCAAGGAGTCAAAACCTAGACCAACTAGTACTTACATCATAGATACATCCTGGGTAGTTCTTAATTCAGATATTGTCCTCATCTGTAATGGACAGCATCGTCAGTTTCCTCATCAATGGAAAGATTTGTGTTTTATCAACAGTCAAATCATATCCAATGTCAAAAAGGGTTGAAGTTTATGTGATATTGGGCACAAATTTACTGAAATATTATTACTTTAAATAAATCTAAAATTTGATGTCAAAGACAACTTTAATAATTAGGGCCCCGTATCGGTGCCCTATAGTAATCACTCTGTCTGTCTGTCTGTCTGTCTGTCTGTCTGTCCGTCCACAAATTTTGTTCCTGGCTGATAACTTTGGTATTTATTGACCCATGTACATGAAACTTGGTCAAGATGTTCAGTTCACAAAAATACACATTGAGGTAAAAAGTCAAGGTCAAAGGTCAATGTCATTAGGTTCAAAGGTCAAGGTCAAATTTTACATCTTTTCACTGATGAATATTTTGTTATGACATTATGAAGCAAAGTTGATCAGAATTAAACAAGGAGTCAACTGACCAAATGTCAAGGTCATTGGGTCAGGGGTCAAGGTCAAATTTTGTAGCTTTTCACTGGTGAACATTACGCTATGACATTATGGAGCAAAGTTGTTCAGAATTAAACAAAGAGACACACTGAGGTAAAAAGTCGAGGTCAAAGGTCAAGGTCATTATATTCAAAGGTCAAGGTCAAATTTGCATCTTTTCACTGATGAACATTTTGTTATGACATGATGAAGCAAAGTTGATCAGAATTAAACAAGGAGTCAACTGATCAAAGGTCAAGGTCATAGGGTCAAAGGTGAAGGTTAAATGTTTTCCCTTTTCCCTGATGAACATTTTGTTATGACATTATGAAGCAATGTTGTTCAGAACTTAACACAGAGTCAACTGACCTTAGGTCCAGGTTACAGGGTCCAAAGGGTCAAGGCCAAGTTTTGTATTTTTCACTTATGAACATTTTGTTATGATATTAAGAAGCAAAGTTTGTCCGAATTAAAGAATAAGTCAACTGATCAAAGATCAGGGTCACTGGGTTAATGGTCAAGGTCATTTGGGTCCAAATGTCAAAGACAAAGTGCATATCTGACTTTGACCCTGGCTCTTAATGGAGGAGGTATATAAGGTGAAATAAAACAAATCAAAGCTAACAAATGAGTATTGCACTGGTATTTACATTTCTGTTAGCCCAGCAAATATGGAGGTGGAAGGAAACAAGACTCACATTATAGTACATGTAAAATGTATATTTTGCTTTCTTGCGATTCTTTTTGAAGTCCAAATATCAAACGTCAAGCTCAGCTATATGGACAAATTGCTTCTTGATGATTATGGGGGATATATTGCCACAAGATGGGTCCCTTACTGAGCTGTCAGTGTTCTAGTTGAATTTTATTAAATTTCTAAAAAAAAAATGCTGAAATTTATTCCAAAAGTATATAAAACATTCCTGAGAAAGGGGTGTCTAGTTGCCTGTTATGGTATGTACACAGACTGCAGTATTGTGGTAGGTTAGGAGTGTACAGACTGCAGTATTGTGGTAGGTTAGGAGTGTACAGACTGCAGTATTGTGGTAGGTTAGGAGTGTACAGACTGCAGTATTGTGGTAGGTTAGGAGTGTACAGACTGCAGTATTGTGGTAGGTTAGGAGTGTACAGACTGCAGTATTGTGGTAGGTTAGGAGTGTACAGACTGCAGTATTGTGGTAGGTTAGGAGTGTACAGACTGCAGTATTGTGGTAGGTTAGGAGTGTACAGACTGCAGTATTGTGGTAGGTTAGGAGTGTACAGACTGCAGTATTGTGGTAGGTTAGGAGTGTACAGACTGCAGTATTGTGGTAGGTTAGGAGTGTACAGACTGCAGTATTGTGGTAGGTTAGGAGTGTACAGACTGCAGTATTGTGGTAGGTTAGGAGTGTACAGACTGCAGTATTGTGGTAGGTTAGGAGTGTACAGACTGCAGTATTGTGGTAGGTTAGGAGTGTACAGACTGCAGTATTGTGGTAGGTTAGGAGTGTACAGACTGCAGTATTGTGGTAGGTTAGGAGTGTACAGACTGCAGTATTGTGGTAGGTTAGGAGTGTACAGACTGCAGTATTGTGGTAGGTTAGGAGTGTACAGACTGCAGTATTGTGGTAGGTTAGGAGTGTACAGACTGCAGTATTGTGGTAGGTTAGGAGTGTACAGACTGCAGTATTGTGGTAGGTTAGGAGTGTACAGACTGCAGTATTGTGGTAGGTTAGGAGTGTACAGACTGCAGTATTGTGGTAGGTTAGGAGTGTACAGACTGCAGTATTGTGGTAGGTTAGGAGTGTACAGACTGCAGTATTGTGGTAGGTTAGGAGTGTACAGACTGCAGTATTGTGGTAGGTTAGGAGTGTACAGACTGCAGTATTGTGGTAGGTTAGGAGTGTACAGACTGCAGTATTGTGGTAGGTTAGGAGTGTACAGACTGCAGTATTGTGGTAGGTTAGGAGTGTACAGACTGCAGTATTGTGGTAGGTTAGGAGTGTACAGACTGCAGTATTGTGGTAGGTTAGGAGTGTACAGACTGCAGTATTGTGGTAGGTTAGGAGTGTACAGACTGCAGTATTGTGGTAGGTTAGGAGTGTACAGACTGCAGTATTGTGGTAGGTTAGGAGTGTACAGACTGCAGTATTGTGGTAGGTTAGGAGTGTACAGACTGCAGTATTGTGGTAGGTTAGGAGTGTACAGACTGCAGTATTGTGGTAGGTTAGGAGTGTACAGACTGCAGTATTGTGGTAGGTTAGGAGTGTACAGACTGCAGTATTGTGGTAGGTTAGGAGTGTACAGACTGCAGTATTGTGGTAGGTTAGGAGTGTACAGACTGCAGTATTGTGGTAGGTTAGGAGTGTACAGACTGCAGTATTGTGGTAGGTTAGGAGTGTACAGACTGCAGTATTGTGGTAGGTTAGGAGTGTACAGACTGCAGTATTGTGGTAGGTTAGGAGTGTACAGACTGCAGTATTGTGGTGGGTTAGCTGGAGTGTACAGACTGCAGTATTGTGGTAGGTTAGGAGTGTACAGACTGCAGTATTGTGGTAGGTTAGCTGGAGTGTACAGACTGCAGTATTGTGGTAGGTTAGCTGGAGTGAGAAAGAATCTTAATGGATGCATGTGTTTCAGTGACGGAGAAAGTTTGGGAAAGTGAATCGACCGATGCTTCCGATGTGGAACCACCTCCAGCGGTCACCAAGGAAACACCTAAACCTCAGCAGAAAAAGTCCCCACAGGTGAGTTAGGGAAATGTTCAATCCTGATCCTTTCAGTAACAGTTATACAAAAAGTAGGTAGTTTCTGTTTAAAAAACAGATTTGAAAAAAAATATGTGTTTTTCAAACTAAGACAAGAACAAATTTTCATTAAAGTTTTTAAGTTAGAGTTTCTGGTAATCCTTCGAATTAGTGGTAAAAAAATTGATAAAATGTCAACTGGAGATATTCATGCAGGTTTGTACCTAAGTTCCATTTTCTGTTCTCACGCAAATTTTGTTAATTGTGGTACTTCTTTATTTTCTGTATTAATACAATAGAAAACAAGACTTTTTTTGATGTAACAGTTGAACATTTTTTAATCCTGAGGATTTACTAGGTTTTGACTAATCTAATAGACATCTGAACTGTTCTGGTAGACTGCACATTGTTTTATTGAAGAACAATGGTACCCTTAGGATATGGACATGCAATGAGTGCTGTATGAGAGTTTTTTGTTCTACAGAAATCTCCGCAGAAAAAGTCGCCTCAGAAAAAATCGCCACCAACAGGCAGCACGAAACAAAAGACCATGATGTCATTCTTCAAGAAAAAGTAGTTGCGGTATTCACCGGCACATGTATCTACCATTGGTGTGGACAGCAAGTCGAACATTAGATTTGTCTCAATCTCCTGGAAATACGTAATTTATTTATTGACCAAGAATCAAGATTTAAACTGATGTTTTTTGCATGTAGTCATTTTAGAAAATAACTATCTATTGTGTCTTCAATAGGGTGGTACACTTATAACTATCTATTGTGTCTTCAATAGGGTGGTACACTAATAACTATCTATTGTGTCTTCAATAGGGTGGTACACTAATAACTATCTATTGTGTCTTCAATAGGGTGGTACACT